AAAATAGCATGTTTCATTCGGATCATAAGTGACCTTGTTTGACTCGCAAATTTTGCTTTCGCTCGGCTTCGCTAAACGCTCCGCCTCGCAAATGCAAAATACACTTGTCAAACAAACTGTCACTTTTGATCCTAATGAAACAATCTACTATTTTAATTTTTTTCTTTTTTCTATAAAATACCCACCATGAATGGTTTATTTGCAGCGATTAAATGTGCGCAAAACGCTGTGGAAAAGTTATGTTGTGTCCATGAAAAGGTTATCGAAAAATCCAGGGAGATTGTATTCTTGTGACAGCCCAAGGATATCTTCATAAACGCCGCCTGCGGTGGACATTGGCTGATCTATGAGAGTTATCTTCATGTGTGAACAGGACATCGCAGTGGAGGTTCCATGTATCGACATCTCGTACTTTCAACATTTTTGAGATGTTTTTGTGCTCGCTGGGGTGGTTGAGGCTTAAGGCGTTCGCATAGTAATCAGAACATCGAAAGGTTGCTAGATTTTCATTTGTAAAACGAATTATTCGCTGTTGCGTTTCAATTGACAGTGCTGCTCCTGAGGTGGAGTATGGAGTTAGTAACAAAGCCTACACAGAACACACATGGGCTGAAGGACCTCTCATGAGGTCGATGGCCAATTGGTATGTCCATACATACCAACAAAGTACATATACAATGATACCTATCATACATACGGGATACGGGGTCATTCACAACGGAATTTCAAATTCTATATTGGAAATAGAGATATGTGGGTTAAACGGCAGTTCTATAGGGATAAGGTGAGTGTGAATGCAAAAAGATGTGATTTCAGGAAAAGGTATTCATCTTGATCTTCAAAAAATCAAAACCATTGAATTGTAAATTGTTGATTAACAACCTAATCAGATTCGGTCAGTGAGTTCCTTAGCAGATTTCAAAAAGTTTCCTCTTCTACACTGTGTCAATTTTGAAACTTACAAACGAAAGATGATTTTAAATGCTTGAAACCGTTTCTAGAGATAGGAAAGGGGAACTAAAATGACATTAAAGAAAACTCACCACGATTAACAAACAGGAAAATGTTTAGATATTGATTTGGGAATTATTGATAAACCCTGTATAAGTAGGGTATGTTCGTTTTTTGAATTTTTAGGTATTAATTTGGAAATGATCACATTTATCATGTATACAATCACAAGTAGGGGTTTGCTATTTGAACCTTTTTTTTGGGGTAGGTGGGGACTAGAGGTTTAATGGGGGTGAGCTATCTTCCATGTCACATCAGTTTCTCCTTCCTTTCCTAGGAAATTTGAGCAAATTTTTAATACAAACAATATTATCTGCCATTGACTCATCCGTGCATTGTTTAATCGGTTTTCAACAGTTGATAATAGTCATTGTCTTAGTGAACTGAGTGATAATGATAGTGCGATCGAGTAATGATGTCAATCAAAATATGGGTAAGTATTTTGTCTGCAACAGTTTGTTGTACTGTGAAGTGAGTTGACCAGAGACCAGAGCTCTACGGTGAGATAGAGTAGGCCCTGGCTCTACACTAAAGAATTCCAGACAAATCGTATTCCTACACATCTCTCTGTAAGCTTTCGACACTGAGGAGTGGCAAATAATAAGTACCTATTGGTTCTGCATTCCATTCACTTTTAGAATGTGAAAGTAAATTTTGAAAATTTGTTATTATAGGGTGTTGCTTTGATCGCAAAACAGTTTACTGAATATATTCCAATGTGGACCTGGAGCTCCTTCTGAGTTGGTCATTCCGATAGTGGATGGAGAAAGTGTGAACCAAATATCATCAAAATGTCCTTGGTGGTTCGTTAGTCATACCCCTTATTAGAAATGGGCTGAATGTATCAAACACCCTTGAGAAGAAAATGCAAATTCTTGACTTCAGAAGATTATATTTACAAATTCTTCTCGTGTGCGTTGAATAGATATAATTCAATGTTCGTCGTGGCATATAGCCAGGAAAGTAGATGTTTTGTGTTCTGTTGAATATACCGAGAGAGAATTGATATTTCCATCACATATATAATGAATGCGAATTCTCAATGTATTTCTTCAAATGTATCCACTTTTTTCATGTTCATAATATATCTAAGAATATTCCTTTTCTATACCCATCATGTTATAAAAACTGCAACAGTAAAGTGTGTGGTATATTCAGAACAACCAACCCCTATAACTAATATTCAAGTATGTTTCTCTCCAGATGAAGCACCCTGTATATAAAGAATTGTGAATTTACTGGTTTTCGTTGCTTCAAAATCCTGACACCAAGTTAGATCGGTCCAGTCTAGGTCTCTTATGCGGCGATATTTCAATCGCAGGGTTGTTAATTATATTAATATCGACTATAAGTATAACAAATGATGGTCATAAATATCGGTTACTGTTGCATTAGAGCCCTCCTGCCGATGCTGATTATGGTTGAATGGGGTTTCAGAGCATTTTCCATGCTCTCATCAGTCTGTTGATGAATATCGCTCAGTTTTGTATGACAATACGAGTGATTTTTTAGTATAGGTAACTTATGAACAAGGAGAATTGCATGATAATTAGACATAATCATTCAATCATGAGACTAGAGCAGAATATGTCGAGGCTAGAGGCATATGCAATGAGACAATTCGATCATCAAAGGATGCTCATAATGCCAAAATAAGATCATTGTTGAATGTCCTAATGGATCCCGTTCATTTTGGTCCTACGCCAAAGCTGTAGGAAGAAATTTCACTGCCAGCTCGTTTACTCCTCTAACCAATGAAGATGGAACACAAGCCACAACTGATTAGGAGAAAGCCAACATTTATGCACATTTATTAGCTGGAAATTCCACTCTGGATTCATCGAGAAAACAACCTCCAAACATAACGCCAATTGACAGTCATATGCCCGAGATCACCTTTCGCCAACGTACTATTTAAGGAATATTTTATTGGGTCTCAACACCAACAAAGCTTATGGCTCCGACGGAATCCCACCGATTGTTCTCAAGAAATGTGCACCCGAACTAACACCTGTTCTCTGCAAGTTGTTCAACTACTCTTACAAATTGAGGATATTCCCGTCCAACTGGAAAATTGCAAGAGTACAACCAGTTCCTAAAAAAGCCAAAAGACCCTACCTAGCAATTACAGACCGATCGCACTGCTATCTTTTATTTCAAAAATCATGAAGAAAGCTATCAACATCGAGCTCATGAAATACCTGGATCATTCTGGTATTATCAACGATAGGAAATATGGCTTTCGTCATCTGAGGTCAACTGGTGACCTGTTTGCCTACGTCTCACATATATGGCAATCTATTGAAAAATATGGTGAAACCTTAGCCGTGGCACTTTATATCTCCGAGGCATTCGATCGAGTCTGGCACCACGGACTCCTCGCCAAGCGGACTCCTCGCCAAGCGGACTCCTCGCCAAGCTTCCATCTTATGGCTTGCCTCCCCAGCAGTGTTCTCTGCTAGCTAGTTTTCTTTCAAACAGGCCTCTCCATGTAGTGGTCGACGGAGTTTCATCTGACTCTCTTATCATAAATGCTGGTGTTCCGCAAGGATCAATTCTAGCACCAACACTATTTCTACTCCATATCAACGATTTGTTGGAAGAAACTTCATGTCCAGTACACAGCTTCGCGGGTGATAGTACCCTTCATACCGTCTTCTCTTCCAGGGCTCCAATACCAGCCAGGCAAATCAGAAACGAACGAGAGAGAAATGTTGACAACATGAGTATAGACTTAGCAACAATTCTTGAATTAGGATCCAATAATTTGGTAAATTTTTATGCAAACAAAACACAAGCATGTCTTTCCTCTAGAAGAGCCGATCTCACTGTGCCCAACATAAGCTTGTCAGGAGTTACCATACCTTTGAAGACATACATTTCGATGCTTGGGATTGCTGAAAGTGCTGAAAGTGCATCCCATTAACTTGGTTTTCTGTTTCAGGCCAGGAGATATTTCACTCCCAGTCAGCTGCTTATGATCTATAAGGCACAGATCCGACCTGTCCTGGAATACTGTTTCCATATTCGGAGTGCAGCACCCCAACATACCCTATCCAAAAAAGATCAATTCCTCTCGTGGGTGATGCGTAGCTCACAAACTCACTCACTTTTCTAGAACACCGTAAAAAAGTTGGCGATCTGGCTCTATTTTATTGATTTTTCCATGGACGATGCTCTTCTGAGATATGAACAATTGTTCCTTCCTTGGCAGTCCCTGCGAGATTAACCCGTCGAGTTGAGGCTTTGCACCCCTTCGTGGTCACTTTGGAGACCTGCAGAACATCTCTTTCCAAAGACTCGTTCATCCAACGAACAGATAGGCTCTAGAACACTTTGCCAAGGAAGGTGTTCCCCGAGGCATATAACCTCCAGAAATTTGAGAAGCAGACCAATTCCTACCTTATTTTCCTTGGTTCTCACGATGTTCTCTGAACATTACAGAATATCCCTTCTCGTGGGAAACAGAACATAAAAAAATGTAATAATTTTCATTATTGTATTAACGAAAATCATTATTAATTCAGAAGACCTCAGCAAATAGAGCATCAGCCACCAGCAGCAGCAGCAGTAGCAAAGAAACTTCCTATGAAAATGAATGATGTGTGGTCTGTCTAACATAACGCATATTACTTCCTTTCTTGCAGAAAAATTTATGGTGTTTCAATCATTGTTGGTTTCACTTGATGTACATATACAGTGCATCCCAATTTGGTTGAGACTGTCAGGTATCTCGGTTGTTTTTGTAGGTACCTAACGTATATGTATTCACAGGTGAATTTGTTGTGGAGCAAGTTTTCCATCAAAATTAATTATCAACGAACATTTGTTGAATATACTAATGTACCTAAAGTAATCTTGTTGATGTCGATGCATTTTTCCAATGAATTATTCGATATCAGCATTAGAGATAAGAACAATAATGAAACGAAAATGTAGATATGATAGATATGACATAGTATAAATATCGGATTGATTGGAAATCTATTAAAGTGCAGTCATGGGTGAGCAAGTGCAGTTATTCGAAAGTTTTGTCCAAAAATATCCCAGACTAATAGCTCCAAATTCCATCTCTGAAGATTGGAAACAATTCATGACCGAAATTTTTCATCATGGGGAGGCTAATGTTCAGACACTGCATGAATTCATACAGGAAACACCTGAAATTAGAACACTACCAAGAAAAGAAGATATTTGGGCATTCACCAATTTCTGTCCAGCCCCAGAGAAAACGAAGGTAATAATCATAGGACAGGATCCATATTCCCGTGATGATGTTGGATATGGATTGGGCTTCAGTGTGAAGAAATCTTCTCCAATTACACCCTCTTTAGAAAATATTCTCAAGGAAGTTCAATGTGACATATCTGATTCCATCTATGCTAATAATCTGAGAGGATTCACAGACGGAGGTCCAAGACACGGATGCCTGGATTATTGGGCGAAACAAGGAGTAGTATTCTTGGACACTGCACTTACAGTAGAAATTGGAAAACCTACATCCCATATAGGAAAGGGATGGGAACCAATCATAGCTAGTATAATAGAAAAACTACAAATCTGTGTTGAAAGAGATGGTGGAAAATTGGTCTTAATTCTCTGGGGATCTGAGGCCAGGAACAACTTCAGGGATTGCATTTCAGAAAACCATATGGTGCTAGAAGGTGGACACCCATCTCCTTTGAATGAATACGACAACTTCTTAGGACGGAGATATTTTTCCGAAGCCAACGATTTCTTGGTAGAAGCTGGGAGAGAACCAATCGACTGGTCATTGGATGAAGATGAAGATGAAGCTCGAAATTAATATTGGGATGGAATTGAAGACGATGAATTATCATGTAGGTTCTATTCATTCATTCTATTTGCTACAAGATAGTATACATGGAACGCTAACACAAAATGTTGAGGCTTAATTATTATGTTCCAATATGTGAACCCAATATTGATGTTAAATATATTACACTACCCCCTTCTTGAAACACATTTCTCTTGGAATCCAATTCCACTTTGCTCTTGAAGTTTCTCTAGAGTAAAGTATAGCAACATCCTAGAATTGCAACTCCGATAAATTATAACATAACCTCCAGCGTGTTTCTCACAATTCTCTTATTCAGTCCAGTATCTAGATCACAAGCCAGCTTTGGAACAGCTTAAAGCTCAACCGATTGATGGACCCTTCTTGTTGAAACTCCTTTAACTTGACGAATATTTTCATGAACATAATTATTGCCTATTCTTTATTAATCGAATAGTGGATGGTTATACCTATCACTGAATCAATTTCGGAAAAATTGGGAACCAAAATATCACAATTTTTCTAAACAACGAAATGTAATATTCACCGACCCTAATGGAAGTACTGTGGCAGCAACATTTTTTCCAACATTGATTTGATATTGGAGATACAATATTAGCCCAACATTGAAGTCGGCATAGACATTAGCAAATAAATATCGGATTATCACAAATAACTCCAATATCATTGCAGCATTGGCAGAAGTTTGATTGTAGAACATCAAAATGCACATTGATGTGATATTGGACAATCTATAGCAATTCCATATTCAATGTGTAATCATCGCGGCACATTTAAGTCAGTTTCCAAAGAAGTAAGATGAATGGAGTGCCACGGTTCGGCTTCAATTATTCTCTTAAATTGTGAATCAGAGTTGGCATTTTTCAGATTGAGCAACTGAAAATGCAACTATTTGGTCTCTTGTGTTAACTTGAAATCGAGCTTCGTTCTCGAGAAACAAAATTGAAGCCACCTTATTGCATATCATGAACATAGGAAAAACAGATTTCTTATCGAAATCGAAAAAACATCCCGCTCATCTGTCCCAAACTCGGTATCCAATTTTCAACTCCTTTTATACAGAACTAGTCATTATTCAGGGATGTTATTGTTGGCAACTGAGTTGAATTCGGTAGGTAACGCCATGCATTCCAGAAACGAAGCAACTCCAGACATGATATGTTCTTTTTTCTTCTTGAAACAACCTATTGAATCACCATCTGAAAGAGTAATATCGTATCGTAGTCAGCAATCACCTTTGATACTGCAGTGTATAACGATAGATAGTAAGAAATATTTCACTACGTCCGTGTTCCACGATAGCGATATCATGAGGTGGTAAATTCAGAAGTATCATCCCATTTCATTCAAGAATCTACTCCGGAAGATAAATGAATCCCGAATCATATTTCATTATAACCAAGTTCGAAGTTGAAACTTTCTCGTAACTAAGGAACATAAACTAATCCAGAAATGCAAGGGCAATATATAACGGAACAGACAACAGTTATTGTGAAATACATTTTTTTTGTCTTTTGTGTTAACTTGATATGGAGCTTCGTCTTCGAGAAAATATTGAAGACACTTTATTGCATTTATCATGAAGCCTTTGAAAACGGTAAAATGTGAAGAAAAATCATAGTAGGATGATACTCATTGAAAAAAAAAAGAGAATATAACAAAGATGAAAGTGAAAATAAATTACGGACGATCTGAGGCCGGAAAGTGGTGAGGTGTGAGTTTTCAAGGGTAAAAAATGCTTTATCTTGATTTCCAGCAAAACTACGTGCCCTATGGACAAGAGTTGAAAGCGAATAAAGAGACCTACAACAATTGTGATCAAATTCTTTTCACATAACCTCAAAATTTATGTGAAAAAGTCAAATAATCGCATGTTCCTTGCAATCTTTATGAAATTGAAGTGTGAATTTCACTTAATAGCTCAAAATTGTACATAGTGAATGAAAAAAATCAGATTCGAGTTTTTTCCTTTCTTTGCATTTTCTGAGAACATTTACTCTAGTATAATGTATATATTTTCTTACATTATCAGCAACAAGAGATTTCAACTGACAAAAAATGCCCCGAGTTCTTTTGAAAAGCGCATATCTCGACGCGAGAATTTTCGATTGGAAATTAGGGTGTTTTTTCGATATTGTGTCAATATAAGGCGAAAAAATAAATGTTTCAAATCAAAACTTGATTATTTGAATTTTTCACATAAATTTTGAGATTATGTGAAAAAAGTGTAATTACAAGAGTTGTAGGTCTCTTCAGTACCTACAACTTTGTCATTGAGTATTTCTCCATAGGACTTGTGGTTTTGCCGGAAATCGAGATACACCGTTTTTTACCCTTAAAACTCACTCCCTTCCACTTCCCGACCCCAGATCGCACGTAAATTGTTTTCACTTTCATTCTTGTCCTCTCTCAACGAGTTTCATCTTACTATTATTTTTTTTGGTTCAAAAAATTATCGACCCTGGTCTATTAATCACCTTTGATACTGCAGTGTATAACGATAGATAAAACACGACCCTGTTCCACGATAGCGATATCATGAGGTGGTAAATTCAGAAGTATCATCCCATTCCATTCAAGAATCGACTCCGGAAGATAAATGAATCCTGAATCATATTTCATTATAACGAAGTTCGAAGTTAAAACTTTCTCGTAACTAAGGAACAGAAACTAATCCAGAAATGCAATAGTTGGAGTTTGAAAGTCGGCATTCACGGGAATTAAAAACTCGTCCAGATGAATATGGAACAAACAACAGTTATTGTGAATCAGAGTTGGCATTCCTCAGATTGAGCAACTGAAAATACATTTTTTTCGTCTTTTGTGCTAACTTGATGTCGAGCTTCGTTTTCGAGAAAATATTAAAGCCACTTTATTGCATATCATGAACATGGGAAGAATCGTTTTTTAATAAAATCGAAAAAATGTTTCACTCATTGAATTTGTCCAAACCTCGGTACTCACTTTTTTACTCCTTTCATTCAGAACTAGTAATAATTCAGGGATGTTATTGAAGGCAACTGAGTTGAATTCGGTAAAGCCCTGCATTCCAGAAACGAAGCAACTCCGGACATGATATGTTTTTTTTTTGCTTGAAAAAACCTATTGAATCACCATCTGAATGATTATCGTATCGTAGTCACTATAGACCAGTGCTGAAGCCTTTGAAAACGGTAAAATGTGAAGAAAAATCATGATAGGATGATACTCGTTGAAAAAAAAGAGAATATAACAAAGATGAAAGGGAAAATAAATCATGGGCAATTTGAGGACGGAAAGTGATAGGGGGTGAGTTTTCAAGGGTTTTCCTTTGCATTTTCTGAGAACATTTACTGAAGTAATGTATATATTTTCTTACATTATCAGAAACAAGAGATTTCAACGAAAAAAAATGCACCGTGTTCTTTTGAAAAGCTGATATTTTGACGCGAGAATTGAATCGAAAATTAGGGTGTTTTTTCGATATTGAGTCAATATAAGGCGAAAAAATCAATATTCCAAATCAAAACTTGATTATTTGAATTTTTCACATACATTTTGAGATTATGTGAAAGTTGTAGGTCTCTTCATTGCCTACAACATTGTCATTGAGTATTTCTTCATATAGGACTTGTGGTTTTGCCGGAAATCGAGATATACACCGTTTTTTACCCTTAAAACTCACTCCCTTCCACTTCCCGACCTCAGATCGCCCGTCAATTGTTTTTACTTTCATTCTTGTCCTCTCTCAACGGGTTTCATCTTACTATTATTTTTTTTGTTTAAAAAATTATCGACCCTGGTCTATTAATCACCTTTGATACTGCAGTGTATAACGATAGATAAAACACGACCCTGTTCCACGATAGCGATATCATGAGGTGGTAAATTCAGAAGTATCATCCTCCATTCAAGAATCGACTCCGGAAGATAAATGAATCCCGAATCATATTTCATTATAACGAAGTTCGAAGTTAAAACTTTCTCGTAACTAAGGAACAGAAACTAATCCAGAAATGCAATAGTTGGAGTTTGAAAGTCGGCATTCACGGGAATTAGAAACCCGTCCAGATGATTATGGCTTTAATTGCGTCTGTAACAGAACAGACAACAGCCATTGTGAATCAGAGTTGGCGCTGGGGAATTACGGGATAATAGGCCCGAACCTGCGGGATTCGGGCAAGTCAGACAGCGTCGGACGCCGAACAACGGAATATATTCCCGTCTATTTAGCAGGAACAAATGGCAGCCACACCATTTAAATTTCCTATCCCATTCATCAAAGTTATAACCAGACTGTACACGAAAAAAATGGGACAGAACAGTCCTACAGAGGTGTGTCATTATCCATGTGATGAAAATATTAATTCTTTTTCGGTTTATTCAACGGAAAATGGGTACTTTCCTGGCTGGCTATATGCCACGACGAACATTAAATTATATCTATCGAACACACACGATAAGAATTTGAGAACAAAATCTTCTGATGTAGAGAATTTGCATTCTCCTTTATATAAAGATATGCACATTATATCATTCTGAATATTCAACAGAAAACAACTACTTTCCTGGCTATTTGCCATGTCAATTATTGAATTGTATCTGTTGAATATCCAAAAAAGAGCTTGAAAAATCAAAATTCTCTGAAATTGATAATTGACATTACCTATCTCTCAAATCGAAAAGAATAATATGATGTATACAGGGTGAGATAACGGCTTCACTGTTTGAGATAGATGAACAAAAATTTCAGAGATGATCTAAGATCATGGGCAGCACATTTCCAAATTATTTCGATTTATACAGGGTGACTGAGAAATACGTGGCGTATCAAAGTTTCTAATGGGACACCCCGTATTTCGTTGCATTTTCGCATTCTCCTTTGTGAGCTGATTTCATCAATGCATCACACTTGGGGTCTAGCGTGAATGCTTACAGAGATATAGGGTGTTCAAAACGAGAATTTTCAACAAGGATTTGCTTGTGTGGAATCTATTCATTATCGGCCAAAACGGCTCTCATGTCCCTATCCCAACTTTTGATTTACTATCTATACACAGTATAGCCGTTATCTCATTTTGCCACACTAATGACACACCCTGTATAGTTTTGGAGGAATAGTGATACATTTTGGGCTATAACTTCATTGAAGAGAACGAAGGTTCGCATTCAGTACTCACCTT